CAGCAAACAAAAATAGGGCAAAACCAGCATGCAAAAATGGCCCTAAATGTGAGATTAAGAAGCAACTCACAGCTGCTGGCCCCAAACATATTAGGGCCCTTCAACAAAGTTGAAGAGGGGCCAAAACATGATCTTTTACAGTTTATGGAAAACCACAAAAACCAGCACAGGTATGGCTAAACTCTCATGCAAGAAATGGGCCAAAAGATGGCCAAAGAAGCAAGTGGTGGTTACTGGCCTTAAACACAAAGGGGCCCTTCAACAACTTTGAAGAGGGGCCAAAAATAACACACTTTACAGTTGATGGCCGGACCCAAAACAGTATGCATACAAGCCAAAAATATCATGCAAAATATGGCCAAAAAAGAGAGATATAACACAAAGTATATAAAGGATGTCTCAAACAGTGAAATACCCTCAATGAAACATGAAGAGGAGGCCAAAATAAGACTGTTTTCAGTTCTGAAAATTGCCCAAAAATAGAAGCACAATAGGCTAATAAATCATGCAAAAAAGGGGACCAAAGAGGGATATAATGACAAGTGGCACATGGAGGTCCCAAACAGTGATGAGCCCTTCTTCAATGTTGAAGAATGGCTCAAAATAAGCCTATCTACAGTTTACATCATGCTCCAAAACAGATCACATATAGGCCAAAAATATTATGCAAGATTATGGCATACAAGAGGGATAATGAAGCAAGTGTAAGATGGGGACCTCAAACAGTGAGAGGCCCTTAAACAAAAGTGAAAAGGAGCTCAAAAAAATTCCACTTTCAGTTAGGGCCGGAGCTCAAAATAGCAAGCATGTATGGCTAAGAAATGATACAAGAATGAGCTAAAAAGGGGGGAAATGATACTTACTCTTGAAGACAAGTCTTTGGTTCCTTCTTGGCTTGAGAAGTGGTGCCTCTTAGCTGCTGGAAAGCTCCCCAAGCTGCTGGAAATGGAGTAGTGGTGGTGATGAAGAAAAAGTGGTAGAACTTGGTTGTTCTTGCTTGAAAGAGAGAGATGGAGGGAGATATAATGCAAAGCTTGAAGCCAAAAATTTCCCAACCCTTATGACCAAAGCTGGAGGCCAGTTATATGGACCAAGGAGAGGGAGAGAATGGGGGGAGAGAGTGGCGGAAAAGGACCATGTTTTCCCCCAAAAGCTGTCCCCCGGATACAGATATTTTTGGGGGAAAACAGCTATACAGCTGTAAAGTACACACTGTAAGGATTATGGCCGGCCAGGTTTTGGAGCTGGCCGGCCGGCCACCTCCCATGGCCGGCCGGCTAGGGGTCAAAAAGGTCAAGAAGATTTAGTGGCCGGCCACCACAGATAGGTGTCCTCCCAGGTGCCCTCAATACAACCCTGTGGTTCAAAATTGGCAACAGTGAAACAAGAGAGAGAACAAGCCATTTTTAAGAAGGGTTCAAAAGGGTCAGGTGAAATTACTGGCCGGCCACCAAATTTTAGTGTCCTCCCATGTGTGTACAACACAAATATGTGGTTAAAAGTTCAAGAAAATGGCCCAAGGTTGTTCAACATTGGCTCGGAAGTGAGAAAAACGGGCGTCGGAGGGCACCGGAGGAATATAACTGGTTGCTGAAACAATTGCTGGCCTCCCACCCTTCTACGGCCTTCCTGGTGATGAAACAGAGGTACCTGCAAAAAATGAACGAAAACCGATGCAAAACGAATGCTCGGGAGCCAGAACGCGCAGTTCGGGGCCCCGAAAACTGCCTGTTAAGCACCGAAAGTGGTATTCGACCACGAAGTGGGTCTCTCAGACCTCAGTGTCCCTCAAAAGGGAGTAAATGAGATGCATGCCAAAAACCAGAGAAAACGGAGATGGTTAGGCGGTCCCGAACCGAGGCACACGGCCAACGGTCCCGAAAAACCGGAAACCGGGCTCCGAAATGGGCAAAATGGCCTATAGCCACAAAATGTAGCCCACGGCCACTGAGAGATGGTCTACGGGACCTCTCCCTCTCCTCAGGAAAAGAAATAGAGAAAACTGAGTCTGGTTCGCAAACCGAGGCAAGGCACAGAAGAGGGTTTGGAAGTCCGGAGGCAGGGCCCACGGCCGCGACTCTGAAACTTCTGAATGAGCACGATATGCAACGTCACCAAGCGCTCAATCGGTGATGTCTGAGTCTTAAGGTCGGTCAAAAATGGGGTGTCTACAGTCACCAACACAACTTGAGACATGACACTCTTATATAATTAAATGCAGTCATTAGTGAAATGGGTTTATAGAGAGTTGAGAAATCATTTAATTAATGAACTCCTTGAACAAGATTTGAGTGGATACAGATACCTTCATTTTTGCATGAACTCCAATGGGAACAAGAAGGAAGAAAAACCCTACCACTAGACACTTCTTCTATTTGACACTGAATTTGATGAGTGGAGACATTACAATTCTTTAAGGCCAAGAGACAACAGAGAAGATCCTTACCTTAAGGATGCAAAAAAGATTGTAAGTGCTTTGCATCATATTAACAGTAAATTTTTATTGTGCCTTATTCTTGTATTTAATCATGACCAAACAATTATGCAATGATGTTAGATAACATATGTAGAGAACCAGTTGGCCAACAAAACAAAGAGAGGTAGAAGAAAGTTTGCAAACTTGGTTTCGGTGAAAGATAGTCCACAACAACGCCCAGCATCTTAAGTATTTCACGCTACTACTACATGCTTGAATTGGTAGTTTTCAAATTTGACTAAATCTAACAAGATCTTGATTTTTATTAATAGTGTTGATTGCGGAATTATTGTATGTTATATCATACACCAAATCATAAGAGATGAGCCTATTACAAATTCTATGAAAGATGATGAAATTAACAATTTCCAAGCGTCAATAGTGCATCAATTTTTGAATGATTATCCAAAAGCATGGACTGGGGAAGAATTCAACCTCAAAAAAAAAAAAAAAAAAATGGGCTAGAGCCAAGACCTCAAGAATGACAATATGGACAACATTTTGGGGAACTACTGTGAATGATGTATGTAATTTTGGATTTTGTAAATGAAAGAATGGTAAAAATGTAATTGTAAGTGAAACAATACTAAATGAGTATTAGATGGTACATGCTATGTCTATTGCTCTAGTAAATTTTACTATGGTTTGGTGATTAATACATTATTACAGCAGGATATTGATTTGACTAGGAATGAACATTATGGATAGAATACAATGATTTAGGTTATACTTGTGTATCTTTGATGATATATGCAGTTGTGTTGTTAGATTATTTTTGCACAAAGATTGCATGATGATCATCAATGGAGTTTGTGTATTGTGGTAAATTTTGGTGCAGGTTGGAAATGTTTCTCTAAGTGCCTAACATACTGTTTGCAATAAAGTAAAATTTTACTTTGCATAAAAGTAAAATTTTACTTTAGTCTGAAATATGAAATATGAGTAAATTGTTACACTTTGAATCTCAAAGTAAAATTTTACTCTGCGTAAAAGTAAAATTTAACTTTACTCTGAAATATGAAATATGAGTAAATTGTTACACTCTAAATCTGAAAGTAAAATTTTACTCTACATAAAAGTAAAATTTTACTCTGTCTGAAAGTAGAATTTTACTTTGAAAAAAGAGTAAAATGTTACCCTCTGAATCTAAAAGTAAAATTTTACTCTGAAAAAGAGAAAAATGTTACACTCTGCATAAAAGTAAAATTTTAGCCTCTATAAAAAAAAATTTGCTCTGAAATAAGATAAAATTTTAATCTAAAAGTAACATTTTACTCTGAAATAAAGTAAAATTTTACTGTGAAACCACAGGCTCATCACACCCACAGAGAACCATTCAACAAGAAAGTAAATTTTTACTTTGAAAGGCAGTAAAGTTTTACTTTCATGTGAATGAAGACAATGTTTTAGTCTCGAAAAAGTAAAATTTTACTCTGCAATAAAGTAAAAGTTTATTCTGAAATACTAAAAAATTTTACTTTGAAAGCACAAGCTGAGCACAGTCATTTCAAACATTCACACCTACTGAACAAACTCCATTATAAGTTCATTTACATGAAACTTATTCAACCACATTAAAAAAATATATTAAAAGGTCAAACTCAACCACAAAGCAAATCAAAAACTTGAACAGACAACCATTCAAGAACATAGTAAAAATGTCTTTTATTGCAATGTCTCCTTACAAATCTAGTCTAAAAGACTACTATTTTGCTATGGACTATTTATTGCAGAAGAACTGCATTATTTTCATACTTCTATTACAAAATGAATAATGTCTTTCATGGCAATGTCTCATTGCAAGTCTTCCTATTATGACCGTAGTTCTCGCATCTACCACACTGTACTCGTCTTATCTTCTCACCCCTAGATGGAATCCTATTCTTTCTTGGCCTATCAGGTAGCTTCTTACAAATTGGAGGAAGGACAACAAGATCATCCATAGCTACAAGAGGTTTCTCAATAGTGGGTATTGGATAAACGGACTTAGCATAGCAAGCTTTGAACTTGCTAGTGTAATAAAATGGTTCCACATGTGCATACAAATCACCTCTGCTCTTTTGGATAGCGGTCGCCGCGTGAGCACAAAGAAATCCATTCAATTGCCATTGGTAACATGAGCAAGTTCTATTCAAGAGGTCAACACTAACCGATGGCTGGGATTGAACCTCAAAAACATGATCACTTGAACGACTAACCAACCAAGTTCTTCCACTTTTAAGAGCATTTACTAATGTTGAATCATCTCCGAACAAAGAAAAGTATTCCATTTCTTAGCTTGTTCTCTCATTCTCGACATCAAATCCATGATCTTCAACCTAATTGAATCAATCATCTTCGTAGTGGGCAAATGGCGAGCTTGACGGATCCATGAATTGAAAGACTCTGCCACATTCGAGTGTATTTCACCGTATTTTTGTCTTTTAAAATATGCATTAGTTCACTTGTCATAGAGAAAATTCGATAGAAATCCACAAACAATCCCTTTTCCCTCATCTTGTAATTCTTTCAAGCACTTATTAAATCATCCCATTGTCGGAGCATAAGCACATGAAGAAAACGAAAAAACTATTCTACTCCTGAAAGTATTGCTGAAACTTGGACTAGAGAACCTATCCCTCAAATTAGCCTTCAAGTGTTGGAGACAAAAATAGTGGTAAGCAATAAGTAAAACCTTGGGTAAAGCCTCCAAAAGTCCAGTGTTCCGATCAGATATGAAGGTAATTGGTCTTTCATCCAACAATATATTTGACAAATGCATAAAAAACCATTCCCAACTGTCTGTAGTCTCCGTATCGACAATTGCCATTGCAAGAGGGAAAAAACCTGAAAAATAACATTTTACAATTACTAAGTATATTAAACGAAAAGGACAAATATAGTAGATTTTTACTCTGAATAACAGTAAGATGTTACTCTGAGAATAAGTAACTTGTTACTTTTGAATAAACTATAGTAATATCCACCTTGATCCCCATCCTTCGCTGTAGCTGTTAACAAGGTGCCCTTATATTTCCTCTTCAAAAAAGTTCCATCGATAAACAATAGAGAACGACAATGCCTAAACCCTTGATTGAAAACATTAAATGCAACAAAAAACCTCTTGAACCGTCCATTTTGATGGTTATAGTCAAGACACAAATAACTACCAGGATTTGTGCTCATCACAATATCCATATACCATCGAATCTCATCATAAGACATAGAGAAATCTCCAAAAGTAGTAGTCCTACCTTTCTCAACTCCCAACCAAACGTGATTGTACATAATGGTGAGCCCGTATTGATCTGTAAATTGACGCACAACATCAATTGGACGAGTTTGGGGTTTCCCACGTACTTCATTAACAATCAAACTTACAACCAAATTTGAACTCATCCTTGAGTTTATAGAAGTACAAACTGTAGCTCCACAAGTATGCCCATCATGTAGAGTCCTAATGTAGAAAAATTATTAGCACTTTCTAGAGATTCATGTACTCGCCATAAACAAGCTTTGGACTCCCGCATTGAACATACAGCAGTGACTCGACACTTCTCATTCTTCACATACACAATCTCAAATCCTATCTCAATGGCATATTTACATAATGCAGTCTGGAAATCGTTTGCACCTCTAATAAATCTTTGACCTGCATGAGTAATTCTATTCACCCATCCACAAGACAACAAAGTCCTTTCTTCATGTTGACAAAACATAGGGAGTAAATCCATTTCATCATCAGTAATGTTGGATCCACTAGCGTCCCCTAATTCTCCAACTCCATGTTTTTCATTTGAAATGCCCATTTCAGTAATAGTCACATCAACCCGGTCAACATCAAGGGGATAAACAAGCGACAACATATTCTGAAAATCAGAATCATCATCATTCATGCATTGCGAATGTCCAGGTAAACAATACGATAACAGTATGCAACCACTACTGTCAAACTTCTTCAATTTACAACTTAAGAAATCAGTTAAATCCTTCAACGTGTAGTTTGACACAACCTTGAACACAATGGTACGATCACCATACTTGCATAACAACATAAGAGGTGGAACCATTTTACAAATCTGCAATCAATTAACAGTAAACATTTACTATCAATCAAAGTAAAATTTTACTGTCACTATCAAAGTAAAATTTTACTATCACTATCAAAGTAAAATTTTACTGTCACTACAATTTGTATTTAGTTTGAATTGATAAAATTTTACTGTGGTTTAGTGTAACATTGTACTATATTTTAGAGTTAATTTTTACTATTTAGTTTGCCAAAGATTGACAACTCATACAGTGTGTCACCAACACAACTTGAAACATGAACCTGAAAGTAAAATTTTACTCTGCATAAAAGTAAAATTTTACTCTGATATAAGAGTAAAATGTTACAAAAAGAATCTAAAAGTAAAATTTTATTCTGCATAAAAGTAAAATTTTACTCTGCATAAGAGTAAAATTTTACTCTGAAATAAGAATAAAATGTTACATTCTGAATCTAAGAGTAAAATGTTACACCCTGAATTTAAAAGTAAAATTTTACTCTAAAAAACTAGTAAAAAGTTACACTCTTAATCTAAAAGTAAAATTTTACTCTGCACAAAAAAAAAATTTTACTCTGTATAAAAGTAAAATTTTAAGCTAAAAAACGAGTAAAATGTTAGACTCTGAATATAAAAGTAAAATGTTACTCTACACAAAAGTAAAAATTTGGTAGACAATGAACTTGTTTGGTGCAACTTTTTTGCTAGTTAAAAATTGATAACTAAAACGCATAAGCTAAAAGAATATATCTCCCCCATCTTCTCAATAATCAAAAATTTACTGTCATTCTAACACTAGAAGAAAATTTTACTCTCATTGTAAACATAGCAATAGAATTAGAGTAAAATTTTACTCTCATTCTCTAAAACAAAAGGCGGAGCAATAGAACCAGAGTAAGATTTTACTCTTATTCTCTAAAACAAAAGACAGAGCAATAGAACCAGCGTAAAATTTTACTCTGATTCTGTCAAACGAAATCAGATCAAACACAACAAAAATAAATCAAAAAAAAAAAAAAAAATTAATCAACAAATCAACATACCTAATTGAGAAGAAAAACCTCTACAACTCGATCAACAGTTACAAATCTCAATGAAACTCTCGTTTAATTGAGAGTGTTGATCATCAGCCACCAAGTGAGAGATGTTCGGCTGCGAGATCGTCTATTGTTGAACAAGTGAGAGATGTTCGGCTGCGAGATCGTCTATTGTTGAACAAGTGAGAGATGTTCGGCTGCGAGATCTTTAGATTTGGAGATCGTCTTCATCGATTTTGTTTCTGATTTCGTTCCTGCGAGATCTTCAGCTCAAATTTCAAAATTTTCAAATGTATGATACCTATATATATGGGGGCAATATTGTGATAAAAAAAAATAGAAATTATAAAATGTCCTTATTAAGGTAGACATTTCCTACTCATGGGTTTTTTGAAAGAAAATTGATTGGATTATCCTTTACTCTAATAAAAAGGCCCAAAAAGGGGGTTTCACCAAAAATCCCTTCTTTTTTTTTTTCACTTTGGTCCCACTAGTTTTGTTTTTCATTCCAAATTCTAATGACAAGTGATGAATGGATTAAATTGCAACAAAATTAAAAATGAAAGGACCAAATTATTTAAATTGAAATTAAGAGGACTAAAGTGACACTTTACTTAAATTAGAGGACCAATGGTGTAATTTACCCTAATTAGTAAATTGGGATTATTACCATAAGCTTCTTAATGATAATAGTTAATGTTATTAGGTTAGCCTATAAAACAAACTCCTGCTGACCACTTTCTAATGATGTTCATTTAGAATTAAATAGGGATAGTGTCAAAAAAATAAAAAATAAAAAAAAGGCAAACATATTTTTACGTATTTTCTTAAATTTCAAAAATGAATTTCGTTAACGAAACTTCCCGGGCAGTTGTTAAGCAATTTTTAAACAATTTAATAGAAAATGAATCTCTTCTAACACTCTTTCTATCTTCTATATATACCCACACCATTTCATGTCTTTTTATTTTAAACCATCAGGACACAAGTATCAACATCCGACAAAGTAATCTCTCTCTCTCTCTCTCTCTCTCAAAAGCTTTTAGAGGGTCTCTCCGAGAAAATAATTTAGTGTTATTGACACAAATATATGTAGGCTGTGTTTTGGTTTATTTCTTTTTTATTTTTAGATGAATTTATGTTATAATACATTCATATATATATATATATATTGGAACTACAAATACATTTAATTAAAATCATTTAATTTGATTAGGTCTTGAGGAGAATGAATTCAAGTAGGAAATGCTTTGAGAAGGTGCTCTCAAACAAAGATGTCACCGACAAGTTGGAGATACCGATGACTGCAAGTGATTTACCTAAGAGGAGAAATGGCATCATGGTTGTATGGGATCAAACTGGAAGGCAATGGGAGTTTCAAATGAGAATAAGTGTTGATTTTAAAAGGATGTTGGAGCCAAAAAGTTGGATTGCATTTGCAAACTTTCATGAACTCGAGGAAGGCGAAACTGTGAAATTTTATTACTCTCCCACTGATAATTCATATTCTGTGGAATTTGAAGGCCCTACCCGCCTCCGGACTCTGCAACTCTTTCCTCCTAACAAATAACTCTCTCATTCATATCCCTTATCAATATATGTGTGTATTACATTTACATGGAGCAGAGTGACCTTTCTTGCTCTGTTGTGCTGTGTTTTGGTTTTTATTTTCCTTTTTCATGTTCACAAAAACCATAACAATGAAATACTTCAAAGGAAAAATTAGTGAAAGTCATAGTTCCTATGAAATTATTTGTAATCCGAAAGTCTTATATATTTAGAATTGTATTTTACAAGTTTTTTTTTTTTAACTTTTAAATTGGATGTTTTTTCATTACAATTCTGCCCATATTTTGGTCAAGGCTTCATTTGTTTTGCAATAAAAATTTCACACTATGAAATATTTTTCGTGTAAATGATTTTGTCAAAAAATATTTTTTTTCTTTTTGTTTTTTCATTACAATTCTGCCCAAATTTTTTTTATGGCTTCATTTGTTTTGCAATAAAAATTTCACACTATGAAATATTTTTCGTGTAAATGATTTTGTCAAAAAATATTTTTTTTCTTTTTATTTTCTAGTGTTTGGTTAGCACTTAAAATATTTTTTTACAACAAAAATCTTAATAAAAAAACCAATTATAGAGTAAATTTTAAAACGGCAAAGAATAAAGAAAAATTATATTCATACATAATTTTCATGTAAAATTTAACACAATTGATATGGTAATTTCATTCTTACAATTATGAACTATAGTAATCATAATTTTAATTTTCAATAGCTAGACATGAACGTGATACATCATTATATATATATACATATATATTTTTTAGAAATTTTGTTTATATATCATTACTAAATAATAAAATAAGACAAGATTTGAATGTAACAAAAATAACAATTCCAAAACTTAATTATGATCAATTGTTCAATCTTAAAATATGTATATGTATAGGTATATATATACTATATATATATACTAGCGTATGCCCGTGCCTGAAGGCACGGTGTAAATAATGATGAATAGCTATCATTTTAATTACTAAAATTCTATGGCACTACCTTTGTTTACACAATAATGATGATAAAAAAAATTTTAAAAAATATAAATTACAAAATTTTAAGTGTAAATCATTTTACTTTTTGTAATGAAAATATTTTATTTATTTTTGGGCCAACCAAACAACTGAAATAAAAATATTTTACAATGAAATAAATGATCCTTAATGTTTTAGAACTTTAAAATTCCATAACCATCTAAATAATCATCCATTTTTTTTTATATATAAAATGTAAAATTTTAAAAATTACTTAATGAGATCGACCAAGAAGAAGAAGTTATTTGACAGAATTAAGGTACACAGCATGATTTATTTTGTTATTTTTTTTTTTTAAAAATAACATAAAAATGATGAAATCCAACTTGTTCAAATCAATAAACATAAAAGGATAGATTACACTTTACCCTCTTTATGTATAGTTATTTGCTTACTTTGACCCTTAAAATTTATTATTTCTTACATTTTAAAAATTACTTAATGATATCTACCAAGAAGAAGAAGTTATTTGGCAGAATTAAGGTACTCAGCATGATTTATTTTGTTATTTTTTTTTTTAAAAATAACATAAAAATGATGAAATCCAACTTGTTCAAATCAATAAACATAAAAGGATAGATTACACTTTACCCTCTTTATGTATAGTTATTTGCTTACTTTGACCCTTAAAATTTATTATTTCTTACTTTGGCCCATCAAGTTTCAAGGTTTTTTTAATTTTTTTTTTATAATTTACTCTTAATACTAACTTATATC